AGTTTTCTTGCAGTCCGAGGCTGGTTCACATTATGCTAATGCAGAAGGGACACAAAGTAGAACAGTCATGTTAACATGGCCAGCATGAGTATAACCTTTTTGGTCTCAACTGATAGTTTCCCCAAATTGATATTTGCATATATGCATTTTAATCTGCTATGATACATCACAGCAGATCTCACTATCATCTTGTAAACAAAGGGGTGGTGTAACAAATCACCCCTGGCACTCGTTTCCACCTGCTGCACCTTGGCTGGATACTCTTCTCCCTCGTGTGCTGACCATTGCTGTGGATGGTTGACCCCAGGTATTTGACTCATCCACATTCACTATGTCTACTCCTTGCAACTTCACCATTCAAACTGTCTCTCTCATTCACACACATTTATTCTGTCTCACTTCTACTGACTTTCCTTCTTCTTTTCTCCAGTGCATACCACCACCTCAATTCAATTCAATTCAATTCAACTTTTTTCAGTTTTATTTTTATAGTGCTAAATCACAACAACAGTCATCTCAAGGCACTTTATATTGTAAGGTAGACCCTTACAATACATACAGAGAAAAATCCAACAATCATGCAACCCCCTATGAGCAAGCACTTTGGCGACAGTGGGAAGGAAAAACTCCCTTTTAACAGGAAGAAACCTCCGGCAGAACCAGGCTCAGGGAGGAACAGCAGGCTCTCTTCCACATGGTCCATACTCTCACTACAGATCACTATGTCGTCAGCAAACATCACAAACTATGTGATCCTGAACGCGTTTGTCTAATTATACTAACTACCAGGGATCACTTTAATAACCAGACATGCTAGCATTAGCTAATAATTTAACACATCACCATCTGGTTAAAATATGTTCACAAAAAACAAGAACAGCATAGAAGAAACCAAAGTGCCAAAATCAAAGTTTCAAAACAGAGCTTCACAGCTAATGGGTAATGTCACAGTGGCTGTGTCCATTTTTTATATACAGTCTATAGTTTGACAATAAAAATGTTTAAAAATGTAGCAAAACAGGCTGGAATAAAAAATAAAATGTCTTTACAAATATTGTGCACCATGTTTTAAATGCCTTAAAGCCCATCTGGCAAATCAAGACATTCAGCCACATCTGCTCTTACTGCAGCATTTACACATAAATAGAAGAGAATATAAGCTAAAGCCAAATAGCTGTAGTGTGACCACACATTGACTTTTTTACATAAATACCATTCTCCAGTGTTTATCTTGGCATTGTCATAGCAAACGTTAACCCCTCAATCATGTCAGCTACATTATTAATAACTAGTTGATGCAATTAATTTAATAGAATGTAATTGCAAAGAAAATACATCTTTGGATGACCCATTAGCCTACTCAACAGAGGAATGTAGCTTGGAAAAACTTGCCTAATCGCACGTGTTAGACATAGAAAAATCATGTACTGAAAAAGGGTTTATATACACAGCAATAAAATTAATTTTAGCTGTATAAAAATGTTTTACAGAACTATTTAAACAGCTAAATTCAAATCTGTAATCCATCAGTGAGAAAGGGGACCCTGTTAAAACCTTGTGCTCGGCAAACAGAGCCTCGTCAATTTCAACAGACCTGTGGGATGAGCTAGTGAAAAAGAAACCGCCGTCCTCTCTCTGCTCTGTCATCCCAAATAAGTTTAAACCTGATCGTAAAGAGGGAATAAATGAACCCTAAAGCATGTGAAGCAGACGCAAGATTAAGAGGTTAGACTGGGTTACAGAAACAGTGGAGATTGACGGATACCACTGTAGAGCGAGAAACGGCACCAAAGAGACATCGCTGTAAAAGTGGATCATGCAAAACTGCGTAAGCTGAGCAAATCCTCTCAGATCCAATGCAAAGTATCCGCCTGGGATAAACTGAGCTGTGCAGAAGATGTTAGAGAAGCTCACCTTCCTGTGTTCTTGTAAATTCAGGGAAGAGGAGCATTTTCTGTTGCATATGGTGCATGTGAGTTTCCGTCGTGCACTCCCTATAAAGAAACAAACAAAGTGCATTACAAAACTCCACGTACAGAGCTGTTAGCAATGAACAACAATTTTGGTACACTGACACATCATTACGTGGTTAAAGAAAAACACCAAATGTTTTATTTGTCATTGAACTCCCTTACTCATAGCCCCAGTGATCCCACCATTTTGGGACCAGTGACACCCTCCCTTTATCCCCGTCTGTATTACATGACCCACATCTGTTGCGTCTGATCCACTTCCCCCTTCGCCCACACATTCACACACACACACATCACTTAGTTCTGACTGCACTGGGAAAAAACATAAAGGCGCAGATCTCAGCTCCATCAGCCTCTCAGATTAATGTCTTAATCTCGGGTTGATATGTAAGGCTGCACAGATTCCCACTGCCCTACATCCCATCATAAATAGCTATGGAAGTCCAATTATCTGAAAGAGTGAGCTGCCCCAGCACACACAGGTCAGCAATTATGGAACACAAGTAATTAGAGATGTGTCTTAACATGGCAGAGATTTTAACTGATCGAGGTCATGCACTCTAACTGCAGTTCCTTGAGTGCTGAGGCTGCTAATGGACGATTATCTTTATTACATGAAAGCGCTACGCATGTGTACAACAGAGAGAACGAGGCAGCGAACATCACAGAGAGACACTGCGAAACAGAGAGAGACAGAGGTGCCAACCTGTGTGAACATTTCCTTTATGCTTCTTCAGAGCGTCTTTGCTCTTAAATCTTTTGCCGCAGCTCTCGGCTTTACATATAAACCTGGCGTCTCCTTTACAGGCTTCCTTATGTTGTTCAAAACTGCACACACAGAGATATCAAAAACGAAAGGAGAAGAGGAAGGGTAATGAGTTACAGAGTAACAGTGGTACAACTGCATGCTTTACACTGTCCTGTACTATGGTTTGGATAATGCATGTTACCTGGACTCTGAGCTGAATGTGTAATGGCACAGGGAGCACTGATGGGCTTTGGAGTCAGCTGATGGGTCTAGTGACTCAGAACAATGCAAAACACTGGGGGAGGATTGAAAATAAAAACAAGTCCAGGATGACTACCACAAATAATCAAGAGCAGAAAAACATCAGCGTAACATTATTAAAAGATTTTCCACTGAAAAAAGTCGAATTATTTTCTTCTTTTAAGTAAATTTTTTTTTAAAAAAACTGAATTTAAACATTTTTTGAAACAGACTCTTCATTCAAATACTGAAAATAAAGCTAAAGCTAGCACCCATTTAGCTTAAATTAGCTTTAAGAGTTAAAAGAAGGGCGAGCAGTTAGCATATCTATGTCGAAAGGTAAAACTAGAATGAATGCCTCTACTAACCACTCACGTTCAAGCCTCTAGGTCTCTATGCCTGCCCAGACTAATGTTAAATATTTTGTAAAGACTTGTAATAGCCAGGCACCAAAGACTGTTGCTAATTCAGTTTTGGGCCAAAGATGAAATATGACATTAATTTTACCTGGTTATGGCTTTAAATATTGGCCAGTGTTTTGTGCAATGTGATCAAATGTATTTACTTGATGTTATTGTATGTTTGTGTTAGATTGTGTCAAATAATAGCATATAAACTGTTGCTTTATCCCCAACCCCCGGGCCTCGGACCGGTACCGGTCGGTGAGTCGTTTGGTACCGGGCCGCGAGAGTTGAGGTTCAGGTGTGAAATGTAGGTTTTCAGGGTTTTTATTGGTTTTCAGCATTATTTTATTATTGTTTTTATCGTTAAATCGGTTTTCCTGGGTCTTTTCACGTGTGTTATGAATAAATCTTCTTTTTTTCGGTACCGGTACTAGTTTTATTTAGTTGTATTTATCCGCGACACCTTAAAGGCCGGTCCGTGAAAATATTGTCGGGCATAAACTGGTCCATGGCGCAAAAAAGGTTGGGGACCGCTGCTTTATGCCATATTAATGTTTTTGAGGGGTCAAAGTGATACACATACTTCATCCTCGACTCGAAATCAAAAATTGGGCCAAACTTTTATCTAGCTAACACATAATCTAATCAGTTCCCTGGATTGATTTAACATCTCTTCAAACTTCAGACTTCTCAGAGATCAGAGAAACGTTGAGCATGAAATAAAACTACACTACAAGTAATGAAAGAGTAAACCCACTGGCGCTGCAGAGCCTGTTTGATGGGAAACTTTTTGCCACAGTTCCTGCATTTGAACTCCTTCTCCTCTGTGCTGGGCCTTTGGTGCAGACTCTGGAGGTGGGCAGCCAGGATCTCTTCACTCGGAAAACTGCTCTCACACAGCAAGCAGGGGTGGTCTTCCTTCTTTATTACTAGTTCTATTAAGGTTAATGAACACAGTACGACAAGTAGGGCAAGTTTTGTTTTTTTATGTGTGCGCTATAAACTGATCACCTGTAAATGTGTATACATAAGAAGGCAAACTAAAACATTCCACTGTACCCATTTCTACAAGGTGCTTGGCCTCTTTACTGTTCTCATCTTCATCTTTAATATCCTCTTCCTCTTCTTCTTCCTCCTCTTCCATATCACTGTCCAGGTAGCCTATCAGGAGCTCCGTGTCTGTCTCTATGTCATCCACAGCCAGGTAGAAGATGTTCTCCCCGTCCTAAAAAAAACACAAACACAGCCTGAACATTGGCTGAACGTGACTCGATATATTTAACAATGTAAAAAGAAAAAAATTAAGTCAGTTGCTAACAGTTTTAACCTTCTGCGGTAAGGCCAGCTGAACTCATTACACCCTGACAGCAGTCTGTTAATGCTTGATTGAGGCCACAGGTCAAACGGTGAAACTCTTAAAAATATTGTCATTCACTTCCCTGCCTTAAAGGTCATGTTAATAAAATCAAACTGTCATTTGGTTTTTAACTGTGGGACCCTAAATATACATAAATAACGATTAAGAGGATGAAAGCTACACAATAAATGTCACCGTTGATGAAACACAGAGATTTAACTCACATGTGTGACCTTTAAAAGACCGATCACTCCGTGTATTCAACTATTAGCGACTGGCAGCGACTTGGCCCTCAGACCTCAAATGTTCATCTTCTCTTCCATGGACTTTCATTTTTCTCCCAAGATGAGCAGATAACCTCTTTTTATCTTTCACATAGAAGCGCAGAAGCTGAACTTTCCCATATCCACTGTACTGTATTCACGAGACTGTGAAAATCTACATTGTGCGTTTGGAAAATTCTGCATATTTTCCGATTCTCATTTCCCGCATAACTGTAGTTAACACGTTATTTGTCAATATAATAACTTTATAAAAGCTGGTCTTGGAAATAAATTAAGAAAAGGAATTTTGCAGCTGCAAAATATTCCCTCAACAAAATCCAGAAAAATGTATAAATCCTAAGGACACCAAGGATAAAAACAGAGAAAAGAAACAAATACACTTCTCTCTTTCTCCAACTTAATGTCCTTTTTACGTTAATAACAGCCTTTAACAGTTTAAACATCTGGCAACAAAGAAACTTCGAGCCAAAGTAATTTGTTTTGCAATATAAATGAACTCCGAATTTCTTTGGCAAAAATTTCCCTTTTTGCCTTAAAACCTTTAATCATTATAAAAATAATCAATTTTCAAGCAGTATTCCATTTCAGTTCAGTTTGTAGGTCTCCAGACTTTTTTCTTACCCGTGCTTTTTCTACTAACGTCGCTCTTTTGCAACTGCTTTATCTCGCATGCACATCTGTGATTTTTCACACAACAAAAACAATAAATAGCTGCTGAAAAAAGCCTGTCATTTCGATCTTGCTTTCAAGGTTTTTTTCCAGAAGAAAATAAGATTTCCGTATTTGCTGAGATCAAATTTGAAATAATTTACATAATTTTGAACTTCGGGTTTGGAGGTTTGACAGATGTCTGTAATATTTATCATTTTCTTTCTTTCAGGAAGGTCTGAGGGATTCATTGTCTGCAGAGTGGAAATGTACCTGAATGGCTGCCAAGTTCTTCTGCTCCTGCGAAGGCGCCTGATGGACAAACCGCAGCCAGTTGGCATAGCGGGGATTGCTCGCATCCAGAATATACAGAACATCTCCTTTACTGCCACGGACCTAGAGGGGGAAAAAAAGAAACAGCAACGACATGAGCTGTCAGATGAGAACAACTGATTCTTTTTCTTCTTCTTCTGCTCTCATTGCCTTCTTTGAAGGTTCGTCTTCTGTACATCAAAGCGTGCTGGCCTTACATATGAACACCAGTGTGGCAGCTACAGATAACTACATCACAGCGTTTCTACACAAGACGAGATAAGACTCACTTTCAGTCAGGCATTATGGTTAATCTGTCTGCAGCGTAATTAAATGTTTCCTTTATCACAGAAAAAACAAGAATGTACTCAGACAGACCCACAAGCAGCTGCATCGTGTGATAAAGGAGTGATCTGGGGCTTTTTCGCATTGAATTGTCATACAGGTTTTTATAAGAATATTTATTGTGTTTAGTTGTATTAATGCTACACAAAAACATGTTTCTTAAAGTTGTTATGTGTCTGTTTTCTCCGCTGCAGCTGTTTATGGTTAAACTGGTCTTAATACAGTTGACTAGTTGCTTTCACCAGAGCGGTTTGATTGGTTCAGTTTGTCTCCTTTTTTATACAGTACTGTGCAAAAGTCTTGAGTCACCTTTCTGTAAATTTAACTTCCAGTGAGCCAGACTTTCTTGTAATTCTTTAAAGTGGTCTTGAGAAATAGTTCTCCAGACTTTCTGAACGGCGACCGTGGCTCAAGAGTTGGGAGTTCGCCTTGCAAGCGGAAGGTTGCCAGTTCGAGCCCCGGCTCAGACAGTCTCGGTCGTTGT